AAAAAGTACTTTAAAGTGTATAAATAAGTTACCCGGGCAATTGATCTACATCAGCCAATCAGACGAATTTCTGTCTACAGTATAAAATTTATTGCACAATTGGCAATGCTGTAAATTGCTCAGCTGTGTATGTTGATAGATGATCTTTACTATAATGGCTGCCAGATTATTTAAAGTATGTATTTATTAACTAGTTAAACTAAATGTATCATAATTTTCAAGAAAGTTAATTACGCGTACAAAAACAGCATAAATTATTGAAATAACAATTATAAAATAATCAACTACCAACACAATACACTAATAAACACTAAATCAACAATAATCCAGTATGTATACAAATTATCCTATCTAGTTCTCATTCGATTTCCTACTTTCTATTTGTTAGCTATCTTTCCTTGTTCCTGGTTTCTAGCACGACCGCATCACGCAGCTACCTTATTGTCGGTAAGTGCCACCAATTATTATTTATAAATTAATGATATCCAGTTTATGATATACGTAGTTGTCAAATGACTATATCATATGCATTCATTCAATAAGTTCATTTATAATTACCGTTACCAACAAAGCAATTTTTTTATTTACAAGTCTAGAGCCAGGTGACGATGTAACACTGATATTTAAGAGTATTTGATGCATTAGCCAATTATATATGATTTTTTGTGGACGCACGCCATTTAAATTGGCATGTAACTATACACTCCATTGCATTATGTTTCTGGTACATATAAACAAGTAACAAATAATTATGTTTTCAATGACTTTTAGCTATATATACATGACGAACATTATTATAATAAATTATGGCCAATGATAGAAATAGTAAATTTCATAATGGAAATAGGCATTCTCTATATTTTTATATGCTATACGGTTGAAAAAGTTAGACCGGACTGCGGTCCAGGATTGATTAGATGAGACTGGACGAATTGATTGTTAAATTATTAGAGTAATTAAATGTCACGTAAATTGCACCAACATATTCAATATTATACATTATAACCTTATTATTATAGATATCATTCAATTATTAGTTTATTACTCGTTTTATTACATAAAAGCTACCTCTAAAAAAATACTCAGGCCTGTCAATTATTATTAGAACTAGTGACAACATGCACTGGTTAAAAAAGCATTTTTTAAATAAATAATAACTAGTTATTTCTAGTACAGATAATAACTTATTTACTCTTATTTATAATATAATTACTAGGTAATATATATATATATTTAAGCATATTAGCTAAAAATATATTAAACTATAAAAATATCTAGTAATTATATAGTAAATAAGTTATTATTTGTGCTAGAATTAATTGGTTATTATTTAGTTAAAATATGTGTTTTTTAACCAGTGATACGCACGAATTTCACAAATTTTGAGAAACGTGCATATTGTTTTTGTAGGCATATTTTAATGAGCCTTGTATTGTAAGCATATTTAGACAATCCATTATGGAGCATTTGTAAAATATCCAAAATATGAAAATTTTGACTACCTTATGCGAGTAATTTAATTGACTTGATATATATCGATATAGATGTGTAATCAATAGAATATTAGACTTAATGTGTTAACATAATCAATCTTATTTTCATTACTCAGACGTATTATATTGAAGTTATACGTAGCAAAATACATACAAATACTTTTTAGCTAAAAATCATTTTAATACGTAATGATAAATTTAAAATGGTTGTCTGCTGAAATTTAAAAATGGGTTGTAATAATTGGAAAATAGGTTAGGCACATTGTTATTATAGATTGAAGTGCTAATAAATTTTTGGAGGGTAAAATCTTAGAAAATCAATAATAAATTTGGTCTCTAAAACTTAAATTTGGGACCAAAAGTATTTAAATTTGACAAATCTGCTATAAAGTATTTTAATTAAAATATTATATATGTATATGATATCTAATTCTTGTAAAAAAAAAACCTGTTATTATAATAAAATATTGATTAACTAAGAAAAAACCCGATTTAAAATTTTTAAAATAATTATCACCTCTAAATTAACCTAGTATATTCTTAACGTGTATATGTCACCCAGAAGAAATTTACCAATCATGTGATGATCTTCCGATTTGTGTGACCTTACTTTCAATCAAATTAATGTTTTTTCGGTACTTTATCAACGATTTATCTGTGCCCACCTGACCAAAATCGATGAAATCTTTTTTTTTTTACATTCTCATACTCTTTACAAATAAAATAAAAAAAGTTTATCGATTTTGGCCAAGTGGGTGCTGAGATATCTTCGATCAAAGTTTTGTAAAATTTCAAACACCAATTATTTATAATAATAAAGATCTGTCTTTAAGTCTGTAAACTTTGATCGAAGTTATCTCGGCACCCACCTAACCAAAATCAATGAACCTTTTTTTATTTTATTTGTAAAGAGTAAGAGAATGCAAAAAAGAGAGAGTTTGTCAATTTTGGTCAGGTGGGTGCTGAGATATCTTCAATCAAAGTTTTCAAACGTCTATTATTTATAACAATATAAAGATTTGTCTTTATACTTTAATCGAAGATATCTCAGCACCCACCTAACCAAAATTGATAAGCATTTTTATTTTATTTGTTGAGAGTAAGAGAATGTAAAAAAAAAAGAGTTCATCAATTTTGGTCAAGTGGGTGCTGAGACATCTTCGATCAAAGTTTTGTAAAATTTCAAGCACTAATTATTTCTAACTATAGATCTGTCTTTAAACTTCAATCAAAAATATCTTAGCACCCACTTTACCAAAATCAATAAACCTTTTTTATTTTATTTATAAAGAGTAAGAGAATGCAAAAAAAATGAGTTTATCAATTTTAGTCAGATAAGTGCTGAAATTTTGTGTGACCTTACTTTTGGTACTTAATTAATTAATGTTTTCATTATCAGTATCTTTTTTTATTTTTTCACAAACCAATTTTTTACATATTGAATAATAATAGTTTTATTATTATTTATTTAATTTTATTCTTTTGTACTTGAATTTTGGGATGCTAGTTTATAAGTATAGCCAATTCTGGATACGAATCTCTCTATAATGAACTCTGGATATAAAAAACTCAAGATTTTAAAATTTTATTATTGTTCAGCATAAAAAAAGTTAATATTTCTTAAGAAAACTTAGTAATTTTCTATTACAAACTTTTTTTCTTCTAGAACTATCAGTTTATTATAGAAAGAGTTTACTATATACAGAAACTTTATTAAATGGACGCTTTAGAAGAAACTGCGTATCATTTTACATTATATATTATAATATAAAACAAATAGATTGTTAAAAAAAAATAAAAAAAAACAGATTTTTTTTATCATATGATCTTGCGGACATCCATGTCTGCAAATATATGATAATATTATTATCATATATTTATAGATATGAATATCCGCAAGATTATATGATAAAAAAGATCTGTTTTTTTTATTTTCTTTTGTTTTATTTTTTATTTATTTTATTTATTTTTTTTGTATTTATTTTATTTTATACAATAACTAATATTATTAATTTATAAGTAGGAGAATAATAATTACTACAATTGTACATGGTTAGAATAATTTATAACCTATTATGTAAACTTATAATACATTGTTTGTTCATCATTATCTTTTTATGTTCTTGGTAATGCCCTTCTATTCTTTAGCTTTTCACTTTTTTTATCATTTTCACTATCCTATTCATTGCATTCTCTGCTACTAGCAAAAATCGTATATCTTTATATTGCTCTTGACTCTTTAATAAATCTATTCATTTTTTAAGCTTATCTGTGATACAGCTATTAACATCTTCCCAAGTTTTACTAGGTTCTTCAATATTAGTGTTATCAGCAATATTATTATCATTCTCGTACTCTTGAATTACTTCAATAAGTTCTTTATCATTAATTTTATCACAGGATTCATCAGTTTCTTCTTCTTCTGTTTGTTTAATAGCATTATTAATTTCATTTTTATCTACTGGTTCTAATCCTTGTAATAATAAAATTAGATCTTTGTGTCTCCAAAAAAGGTGGAGATCGATGACGTTTGACTTCATTAAAAAAATTTGGATTTACTGGATGGACGGATTGTATGAGGTGTTTGCAAAGAAGAAAATGGTCAGTACACTTCGTGCCCAGTTGGACCATTTTGGCAAACAATACCACTCCACCTATAAATATGACCATGTCTATTTAAGATTATTATTTTTGCAATATATATATATTTCCCTAACTACAGCTTCACAGATTTGATTTGGGGAATAATATTGCTTATCAAATGCAGAAATAAAAGGATGTTGATTAAAATGTTTAGCTATCAGATTAAGAATATGATTACAATGTTCAGAGAGACAAAAAGTAAATATTATTTTTTTAACTTGCGATTGGACTTCAGTATGAATTTGTTGATTCGTTTCATCTTGATTTATTTTAAGGCAAAAATTAATATCAACAAATGAGAATTCATTATTTGCTTTTTCAGCAGAATACCAAGTTATTTTTAGCTTTTTATTTAATGACAATTGCCTTTTTATTGCCTTTTTTAGATGCCAAAAACATAGTTGAATATAAGCATTTGGCCATACTGATTTTGCTGCTGAGATTTGTACCGAATCTTTATCTGTTATTATAAAGGTTGGATTTACTCCTCTATTATGCAACTTATTAAAAAATTGCATGATATTTAATATGCGAGCTCTATCATTAATTGCAGTAGATGTGGTCAATAACATGTATACTAATGGAAATCTCATCCTGTCTTCTTCAGCAAGTATTGAATATAATTTGAGGTTTATTTTGTTGGTATTGTCTATGAAAAATATAATTTTAGTTGTTATTTTATTTACTTATTTAATTTTATATTATTATTATTATTTTAGGTTTTATGTATGAATACATATATGTTGCGTCTATGCCTATTTCAGTTGCTTTTACTCCTAAATTGTTGATTAGTTTCTTTACTCCAAAACTAATCATAATAACATCGCTATCGATAATATACAACAATATTTCAATATCATCATGTGACTTGATAATGTTAAGAGTAGATTGGATTTGGTTTTCATCTTTTTTTCAAATATGCTGACTAAAATTCATCCACCAATGATATATCTGTTTCTCTGTAATATTTGCATTATTTATGCCAATATTTTCCCACAAGACTCGAGGAGGTTGTTGAAGATATATTCTTTAATTTTATTTGTAATACGTACGTCAATATATTTGGCATAGTATTTATGAGTTAACTCAATTGTAACCTGCTTTTTTTCTGTATCAATAGTGATTGTTAACCAACCTCTACAGTAAAACTGTTGCATAGGTAAATGGTCTCTTTGCTTCATTAGATCTTCATGTTTCTTAGGCTTTTTTTGATGATCAAGCAATTGGGCACAATGGTATCTAAACTTTATAAGATTATCCGATTTTGAAGAAACCCTGTTATTGTAACTTTAAGAGGGTTAGTTTTTAATTATTATTTTTAATTATAGATTTAATTTTATCTTAATTCTTACTTGAATTTAAAATTAATAGCCATAAAAATTTTATCCGTAATAGATATAGCTAACTCCTTCAGGTCAATTGGAGTTATAAAATCATTTATATCAATAGTTTGTTTAAAATTTTTAATATTTTGTTTTTTCATAGTTTCCAATATTGCATCAAAATCGTCTATTGTAATATAAGTGGTATGTGTATCTACTAAAGCATCAATACTGGCACATTTTTGTGCATTTTTCCTATTTCTTCTGTCTTTACAGATTGAGCATGTTTTATTATTTTGAAAGAGTTGAATTGAATGAAGTTAACCACAGCTAGTGCAACATTTTTTATTATTAGATTAAGATTCTATGGTTTTATAGTACCAGACAGTAAAAACCATCTATTTTTTTTTAGGGCATCAAATTTGAGAATTTTATAACAATTCTGATTGGCTAATTGTTGTGTAACAAAATTTTGATTGGTTAAAAATATAAAAATGATTTTTTTTATATAATAAGCACCAAATTTTAGATTTTTAATAATAAATATTAACCAATCAAATCATGAGCACATGCTTTGCATCAATCTGATTAGTTGATTGTCCTGTGCCAAATTTCTGCTTTACTATTAAAGTTGCTGAACTTTAAACTCTTATAACTTCTTTAAAAAGCAAGATGTCAAAAATTTGTCTTACAGATTTGTAGTTTAGATTACAAATAAAAAATTTGTAAGAGAAATTTTTAAAATACAGTTAGAGAATATACCGTAAATAGACAGTGCTGATTGCACCATTTATGGTAATAGAATACTGATCGAATGGTTCCAGAAATTTCTTTATGTCGATCCAAGAATGATCACTAACCAATCAAATCAACTGAAGATAAATACATACTGGGCAAGCGAAAAATTTGTTATCGCGCAAACTCTTATGATCATAGATTTTTTTTCTTTCTATTATTTTTTGTACGTTATTGCATAAACACAATAATCTCGAATTAAAACTTAGTTAGCCAATAATGACTTGTGAAGCATAATCATAATTGCATGATAACTTATAATTATTGTATTGTGTAAAATAAGCCCTGGGCATTATTTTACAGATATACGGCATTTTTTATTTTTTTCATTTATTTTTCTTACATTTATTTATTTTTATTTTTTATTCCTACTTTTATTATATTAAATGTATCAATTAAATAAATGATTATTGGAATGTTCTCAAAAATCACCCAAATACAATTTCTTATGATCAAAATAGTACACAGTATTATCAAAATTTGCCCGGTATTACAGTGGTTTTTTAATAAAACTATTGATAATTCTTGGTACAAGATAATCATCAAGCAGAATTCTGTCAAGTGCTAGTTAGAATCTTAGTTACTATGGCTCCAAGATTGGAAATATCTGACGCCTAGGTATATGGTTGACCCACATTACTATGACTCCAAGACTGGAAATATCTAACACCTAAGTATACGGTTGACCCACTAAAACTTCAGGTGCTATATAAGTGCTGCCAAGGGAAAAGATACTATGAACTTTCAATTATATTTTGTACCAGACACAATCTAATTTATTATTGATTGTATCCAATACAAAATATAATTGAAAGTCCGAAGTGTCTTTTCTTTGGCAGCATTCGTATGTGTCAGAATTCCACAAATGTTTTCTTTCTTTATATTTTAGAAGTCCAAAATCAGTGATATATGTGCTATGCAAATAATTTTGCAAAATATTTCACTGTGTAAATCTCTGTAAGAGTTTCTGATTCTAGATTCGAAGCTATACAGTATAAGAAATTCTGCTTACATTTCCAACACAACAATTATGAGTAGTTTTACTGCATCCTAAAATTGACTTAGGTAAATATAAATTAGATTTAAGATCTTAACGTCTAGAATTTGAACAGAATCGACAACAATAATAAATTTATTAACCATTTTCACCATTAAAATTTATCTTTAATGTAATAAACAATGAGTTTCATACCTTATTTCTGTATTTACCTTAATTACAAGCATGTTCAATCGATTAAAAATGCTTTTCACTAATTAGAATTAAACTATAGACATATTTCTGACATATTTTGATCCATTGATTAGGATGCTTGAGAATACCTAGACGAAATTCAAGGGCTCAAAGGATCTATAATTTGAATAATCTTAAAAGTTGAATAGTAAGTAATATCTGCATATAAAATCAATACAAATAAAGAATATTGAAATACTACGAGGTTTCTTTGGCCTGATCTAACAGGTAAACTCTAATGAAGTTCTTGAGTTTTTACCCGCCAACCTTACAAAAGAACAAAAAATTTTTAAATATTTTAAGTCTCATTCACTTTTTCAACGAGAGTTAACTAGAGTGGATTATTGTGGATTATTTAAACTACATGTCTTTTACTATCTATTAATGCTTTTATTCGGGAGTTTCTAGTAATGAATTAAATGTGTAAAAAATTTTCGAAAATGCTAACAAGAAGGCACACAGATCTGCGTAGATCATTCTAGAACCTGATACACTAATTTGGTATATTTCCTGACTGAAATAATTATTTGTTGTGAAGTTATTAGATTTTAAACAATGCTAAAAAAAAAGAATAGTTTTTGCTGTCCGGTACTGTACAATATTATATTTAATTGTTAAGATTAATTAGAAATATATCAGAATTAGAACAATATTTATTTGTTTGATACTTCAAATTTGGTTTGCTTTTATTAAGAGTCAAAAGCTATTGCTTATATATATATTTTTTCATCTATAATATTATCTATAATGACTTCGGCCGATCTAATATATTATTTTAATAAATAAAGAATTGTTTAGTCAAATTGACATTTTATTTTTCTAAATCTGTAGCTAAAGGATCAGATAAATTTATTTTCATTAGTTATTGATTCGGCTAAGTGACCTTTTCGATTATATGAAACTATTTTTTAATGAAGTATTCAACTCAGCTGAGTGATCCTTTTAATTGTATAAACTAGCTTTAGATAGAAATAGCTAAATTAAGCACTACAGCTACTTGCATATTACCAATAAAGTATACAGCGATATATGTACATACATATTTTAATAGTATGTATAGTACGTACATCCAGAAAATATCTCAGCACCCACCGATTAAAATTGATGAATATATTTTTTTTACATTCGCTTACTCTTTACAAATAAAATAAAAAAGGTTCATCGATTTTGGTCAGGTGGGTGCTGAGATATCTTCGATTAAAGTTTAAAGACAGTTCTATAGTTAGAAATAATTAGCGTTTAAAATTTTACAAAACTTTGATCAAAGATATCTTAGCACCCACCTACCAAAATCAATGAATTCTTTTTTTTTACATTCTTTTACTCTCTACAAATAAAATAAAAAAAGGTTCATCGATTTTGGTCAGGTAGCTGCCGAGATATCTTCAATCAAAGTTTACAGGCTTAAAGACAGATCTTTATAGTTAGAAATAATTAGTATTTGAAATTTTACAAAACTTTGATCGAAGATATCTCAGCACCCACCTGACCAAAATCGATGAACTCTTTTTTTTTGCATTCTCTTACTCTCTACAAATAAAATAAAAAAAGGCTCATCGATTTTGGTCAGGCGGGTGCTGAGATATCTTCGATTAAAGTTTAAAGACAAATCTTTATACTGTTATAAATAATAGACGTTTGAAAACTTTGATCGAAGATATCTCAACACCTACCTGACCAAAATAGATGAACTCTTTTTTTTACATCTCTTACTCTACAAATAAAATAAAAAAAAGCTCATCAATTTTGGTCAGGCGGGTGCTGAGATATCTTCAATTAAAGTTTAAAGACAAATCTTTATACTGTTATAAATAATAGATGTTTAAAAACTTTGATCGAAGATATCTCAGCACCCACCTGCCCAAAATCGACAAATCTCTTTTTTTTACATTCTCTTACTCTCTACAAACAAAATAAAAAAAGGCTTGCTGATTTTGGTCAGGCAGGTGCTGAGATATCTTCGATTAAAGTTTAAAAACAAATCTTTATACTATTATAAATAATAGACGTTTGAAAACTTTGATCAAAGATATCTCAGCACCTACCTAACCAAAATCGATGAACTATTTTTTTTTTACATTCTCATACTCTCAACAAATAAAATAAAAAAAAGCTCATCGATTTTGGTCAGGCGGGTGCTGAGATATCTTTGATTAAAGTTTAAAGACAAATATTTATACTGTTATAAATAATAGATGTTTAAAAACTTTGATTGAAGATATCTCAGCACCCACCTGACCAAAATTGACAAATCTTTTTTTTTTACATTTTCTTACTCTCTACAAATAAAATAAAAAAAGGGCTCATCGATTTCAGTCATGCGGGTGCTAAGATATCTTCGATCAAAGTTTACAGGTTTAAAAACAAATCTTCATACTGTTGTAAATAATAGACATTTGAAAACTTTGATTGAATATATCTTAGCACCCACCTGACCAAAATTGACAAACTCTCTCTTTTTTGCATTCTCTTACTCTTTACAAATAAAATAAAAAAAGATTCATCGATTTTGGTTAGATGGGTGCCAAGATAACTTCAATCAAAGTTTACAGGCTTAAAGACTGATCCTTATTATTACTAGAATAATGCGTAGCATTGTTAGATCTATAGCATATCATATGATGATCATCTCATTACACAAATGCATGAATATGCATATTTTATTATACTAATTTAACAAATTTGAACACGTGTGCGGACAGACAAAAAATTTTTAAATTACGTTTTGATATGATCTTTATAATGCTTATACAGATGCATCAAAAAAGCAACTTTTTGGGGGTGAAATGCATCAAAAACATAATTTTTGTATCACTTAATACGTAAAAATTAAGTGTCCGTCGCTATGCTCCAGCCAATAAATAATTGGTATTTGAAATTTTATAAAACTTTGATTGAAGATATCTCAGCACCCACTTGGCCAAAATCGATAAACTTTTTTTTATTTTATTTGTAAAAATTATAAGAATGTAAAAAAAGATTTCATCGATTTTGGTCAGGTGGGTGCAGAGAAATTGTCAATAAAGTACCGAAAAAATATTAATTTGATTAAAAGTAAGGTCACACAAATCAGAAAATCATCACGTGATTGGTAAATTTCTTGTAAGTGACATATACACGTTTATATTCTTATAATAAATTATCGTCTATTATAAGTGTTCTGCACATTTTTATCAATCATTTTTTATGAAGTAATAAGATACAACTTATATTCTAAATTTATTTGAATTACTGATTTATTTTAACGTTAAAATGAGTTTTGTGGATCTGGAAGTAAATTTGATTATCCTCCAAAGCATATAAAAGATCAGTAATAGTTATAAATTTAAATATTTTTATAGCATTTACTAATCTGATAACCTATACTAGAGGTCCAATCTAAATAAATCTGTCATCTATTATTTATTCAAATAATTCAAATTGTTCAGATACCTGGATAATCTGACAGGTACTTGGATAATTATCCGGTTATCAATAGTAAAACAAATGTCTGAATAAATTCAGATACAGATATTTGATGGATAAATGGATGAATAGGAACACTAATCTATGCTATAGATGATCAGATTAGTATTACTACACCAATCTTGTTTATCTATTTTATGAAGATGCAAAAATCACTTACTACAAATTATATAGTTTGTCATCATGAAATATAAAATGAAGAATAATACTATTATTTCCACTGTGGTAGATCTCTGGTTAAATCAGGGCCTGAAGGGCCCTCATATTCCCATCGTTACACCTTAAGGGTAGGATGTCCATAGATTATTTTTCATAATCATATGATAAATCATATAAAATCATGTGGTTAACCAATTAAGAAGAGATTGGGTGTATTTAAAATAAGCTATTTTTTTATATTTATTTCAAATACCTGTAAGTATAGTTTAAAATATGATAAGAAATTTTTTTGTTGCTTCTTAAGTTATTCTATCTTTGATATTATAAATTATCTGATATTTCTTATTAAGTTAATTATTTAGGTTAATTTAACCAGAAAGTGTAAAATAATTTGTTAATCAAAGTATATAAAACAATGTATTAGTTTTACTAGTTTATTTTTCTTGTTGATTTAATCAA